CAGATAAAGTCGTGTCTTATTTATACTCTGTTCTACTGACAACAGGCCAGCGAAAAATCTAACAATCTACAGCAAAACCATCAATTATTATGGGCGTTATAACATAGGTGTGCAGCTGAACGAAACATACACGTCGAACCCCCCCAGACGATTTAAATCCCTGACGAAACATACACGACGAACCACGGCAACGGGTTAAAAATTCCACGACCTCCGCCAGGTTTGAACCTTGAGTCATGAGGTGGGAACGTTAACCCTAGACTGTGGAGGCCGCTTATTCTTCACTGTTACTCCGGTGGCTGCTATATTTCAGCTAACTCCTTAGGCAGTGCAGTTCTCTTATAAACCCTCAGGCAGACAACGGGAAAATGCCTTGCTTCCTTGTTGCCTAGTCGCCGTGTTTACAGGTGTTGCTGGGAACACCATCAAGAGTTGTTTATTGCTGCATAGCAACTGCGGCATCCCCCGCTATGTCACTGTTGTCACCTGCCACGTCACCGTGGAAGCTCTGCCTCGTCACCATGTGGGAGGAGGCGAAGCTCTGACCGGCCCGTCACTGTAGCAGCGGCAGCGCTGATACGCCACCGCTGGTGGGGGAGGGGGCATCCTGCATAGTGCAAATACGTCACAATATTTACCATTTTAGCTGGTGTTGTTTATCTAAAAATATGTTTGTTGGTTCTCCCATACCCATTTTAGACCCAGGGTCAAAACGTGATGTACTGGCAAGTGTGTGACTTTTGACAAGTTTGCAAGCATGTGCACTGTCAGGTATCAGCTGAAAGAAGCACCGATTTTAACATACTATTCCTGCAGCTGGGTATGAGAAACTCATATATGGGCTGCTTCAGAATTAGTTGTGTGTATTTGAATACCTTAAGGACACGAAACAAAGTTTAGAATATCATGCCCAAATTACTTATTAATAATGAAATTTTGTGTATTGTGGTACATGTGTAAAGTGTGTTCAGTCAATGCTGGTAATTTATACCTAAAAAAGTAAAAAGTAAAGCTATCCCTGTAACAGGCTGTGAAGGCCCATGGGGTTGTGAGACGTTGAGGGTCCCACATTATCTAGACAGTCGGCTCAAAGATGGCAGTAAGGTTGTCAGCCTTAAGCGCCGGCTGTGCTTTACTCCCTAGGAAAATTATTTAAATAATTCCTGGTACTCATTTTTGTTAGAGGCTGAGTCGACCCCAGGGCTGTAGTGCAGCCGGAAGGATTAGATCAATTGAAAAAAATCCAGTGACCTCATCGGGACTCGCGACCTTCTGGCTTGTAACATAGTGCCTCAACTAACTACGCTACCACATACCCCGATAATTTATACCTGCATAATTGTGAAATACTGAGTTTTTCGTAAAAAACTCCAGAAACCTTGAAACAGACCCTTCCAGTCCCCAAGTAAAAAAATAAATGCCTATTTATTTTGTTCATGTTATTCATTTGTTGTATCCAACTACATGTGTTTGATGCTCTAAACTTCAAGTTTCAGGCTTCAAGAATGTATCTGGTGTTGCACTGTTTTTACAAACTTAAGGAATTTTATTGTACAAATGGTTAATATGTTTTTCATTTGCATTCAGTTTTTGTAATCATATTTATTTATGTTCTATGTCTGTGTTATGTATATTTTACATTATGTTGCGTAGACTTGTTCCAATGATTAACTGGAACATTTGTTCTGATATGTGACTAATTCTATATCCAGTGGTTTGTGAATATACTTCTCATCCTGTATCTGGGTTTGCTTGAATTTGAAATAAATGGACAGTGAACAGTGAACAATGGATAGAGGAAGGCTTTGAAAAATGTGAGGGAACATTATATGTCATTGACTTTGTAAACAACTGCACTTATATGCGTTTGACAGCTGTCTCATGGACATATCATTGTATTATAAATTTACTACTGTGCTCCCTCAGATTTCAATTTGAACTTGGTGTAATTTTTGCTGCTGTAATGCACTCCATTATAGCCTCTAATAAGCACGAGGGAATGTTGTTATGGTGTAAAATGTATTACATTACTATGGCATACAGAAATTATTTTATATGTCCTGAAATTATGATTTTGCCCATTAGTTGACTTGTTGATATAAACAAAATTGCATATAATTCTGGAAGATTAGGTCTAAAAGGCTTGACATGAATATGGATAGACTTGTATGTTTCCTTGCTCATGACTCAGTAGAAATTCATAAGCAAAGCTCTGCTATAATCTGAATTGGCTGGTTGTTTAGAGTCTGTCTTTATATTGCATGTCGTATATGATTATGTTAAGAAGTGGCACAACCCTGTAAAGTCTTCGATTTCCAAAACTTGCTACCTCTTTTATCAGACATAGTGCCCTCATATGTGTTATTCAGTTGTTATGAAATAGTGTGGCAATTTTTGCACAGCCCACAGCACTAGCTTTAGCAGTAAGGGAGTTGAATGCACAGTGTGTTAGGAGTTGCATTAGCAGGTGAGTTGCTCATGATTTTCATAATCTCTTCAGACCCAAATCCAAGCAGAGCAGTGCCATTCACATACCTTGTTAGTGTGTATGCCTCTTTCATTGACTGATGTTGTTTTTATATCTCTATTTCAGACTGGGAGGCCCGTATTGACAGTCATGGGCGTATATTTTATATTGACCACGTGAACAGGACTACCACATGGCAGCGACCGACATCCAGCTCAGTAGCACGGGCAAGGCCAATCACCAATGAGCTGCAGAGACAGCAGCTGGACAGAAGGTGGGTCAGAGTCAGAAATTTGCACATGAAGCTGTTGTTTGTATCTTGAATGAATGAATGAATGAATGAATGAATGAATGAATGAATGAATGTATGTATGTATAAGGGGTGGGCATTCTTGGCCCTTGCACCATGACCACAGTGATCTGTTGTTCCCCCCCTTCTGATTACCCCCTCAACAATCGATTTTGTACATGGGGACGTCGATATAGTCACTTGGTTCCATAAAATGTTGAACCAAGTGGCGCAATCTTAAATAAGCTAAAGCCTCGCATTTGCACAGGATATGAGTGACTTTCTTTGTTTTCTTCTTACTCCTCTCACAAGTTGGACTCTTACTTAGTCCCAATTTGAAGAGGTGTCTTTTGAGGTGACAGTGTCCTGTAAGTAGTCCTACCATCCATTGTAGCTGGTTCCTGTTTAAGTTCAACAGTTCCTTTGCTCTTTTAGTAGAGGGTCCTCATATGAGTCCCTTTGCTTGCCTGAGTCCAGTCAAGAATCCCCAAATATTTCTTGTGATTCATATTTGTCCAGTTCCTGATTGCCTTTCTGGCAACTCCTATAGAGATGCTACAGGCTGGTTCAGGTCCTATGAATGAATGTTCAGCTCCAGTCTTAGCCAATTGGTCTGCTATTTCATTTCCGGCAATACCCTCATGCCCCGGCACTCATATCAGTTGTACCCTGTTATGTTTGGCCACTTGCATGAGGGTTTGGTGACAATCCCAGACTAATTTTGAGTTGATCTGGTGTTTGTCAAGCACTTTAAGTGCAGCTTGGCTGTCAGATAGAATGTAGATGTTCCCATTTCTATAGTTCCTATCTCCATAATACATGCCTTAATGGCATATACTTCTGCCTAGAATACTGTTGTGTACTGCCCAAGGCTGAAAGTAAGTTTCTGCCTCATGCCATAGCAGAACACACCAGCTCCAGTGCCCTTATTTATGTTGGAACCATCTGTATACCAGATCAGTCCCCCTTTTCTATCGAGGCCGAAACCCGTCTTCCCATTCACTCCTGTCGGGAAATCTGACTGTGAAGTGTTTTTCATATACATGTCTCAGTATCATTTTGTCAGACCCCATTTGTAATGTGGGTTCTTTTTTCATGTCCTGAGTTATGTTTGCATGTCTGAAACTATCGGATTTAGGTTTCCAGTATTATATTTAAACATCCTGTTACACTCTACACAGTGTATGACACAAACTCCGTCCTAAGTGCAACAATTTATTGTAGTTCTTTTGTCTTCTTTTCTTCTACGCTACATGTTTCGGCCGTGAATGGCCGTCATCAGGTGTATACTCTTACGTAGCTGTTACACTGCACATAGTTTAAAATTTAAAAACACCAGCTTTCTTAATTGTTCATTTTTCCATTGTTAATAGGTCCCGATAGATAAGAATCCCCTTGCTGATATATGTCAGATGTGTATAAAATCTTTGTTAATTTACATATGTCAATTTGATTTTTGAATTTTGGTTTTTAGATAAAAATTTTTTTAAAATGTAAAATTCACAGGGATACCTGCTCTNTATCATTGGAGAAATGAACAATTAACACTTCGCGGACCGCCGATTTAAATATTTAATCACCCTGGGGACTGGCATTTTTAAACCTACTACCCTAACTTGTGCACTGTTCAGTTCAAAAATTAATATAAAATTTTCTAATTAATTTTATGAACTAAAATTTTTGGAGAACACTTTCCAATGCTCCTAGAAGTGCTTGAGAGTGTGATATTTCTGGAAACATTCCCCTTTATGAAGTGGCATTACAGAGAACTTGCAAATGTAGACATACTCCTTTTTTTGTGAACTGTGGAAACACAGCATTACTTAGAAAGATGATGCCCCTCGGAATGTTCACTCTTCACAATTTTCACGAGGGTGTGTTTCCGCATGTCACCCGAGAGTCGCCCTGTGGGATCCACATGAGGTTTGCGTGGGGTGGGATTGGATGGGCACAGTCGCACTAAGTCTGTGTCTGACTCTGGTTCTGCTGCCACCATCTGGTCTGTAGCCCAGGACTTTGCCACATTCATCAGAAATGCTTTGTATTTCAATTTCGAATTAGGGTTTAGATTTTTGTGATTTTTTTAAATTTTTTACTGTCCCCGCAATGTTAGTCACCACAATGTTATTACCCCCATTATCATTGGAGCTACTGTCACTTTTACTGTCTGTAGCCACAAGTGGCCACAGTTCTTTGCTCTCCCCTGTCACTGCTGCTCTCTCAAACACCATAACTACGCATCTCACAAGGTAGCTCAGCTGGCTCATCGGAAAAGAATTTGTACCGACAAGTAAGCGAATATTCCAGAGTTTTATTACGCCATTGCGTGCAACTTGGGTGGCGCCAGAGAGATGGATAGTGTGTTGCAACTTATCATGTTTTAAAAACCTGTTAACAGGTGAACGGTCTGCCATGTTTAAAAGCAAAAAACCTTTTAAAGGGTGTGTGGTCTGCAAAGTGTTAAGAAAGCTGGTGTTTTTAAATTTTAAACTACCTGCAGTGTAGCAGCTACGTGAGAGTATACACCTGATGATGGCCATTTACAGCCGAAACATGTAGTGTAGAAGAAAAGAAGACAAAAGAACTACAATCAATTGTTGCACTTAGGATGGACTTTGTGTCATACATTTAGGTTTCCATTGATCACTGCACTGGAGACAGTAGATTCCTGCCCTGGCCTCTGCCTCCAACTGTAGAGGCAGTGGGGGGAGTCCAAGGAGTGTCTCCAGTGCAGCTGTTGGAGATGTTCGAATTGCTCCTGTGATACCCAAGCAAGCCAGCCTTTGCAATTTGCTAAGTTCTGCCTTGCTTGTCTTGAGTTTAACTCTGGGCCACTATACTGTGGCGCCACATGTAATTATGGGTCTTACAACCGCAGTGTATATCCAGTGCACAATGTGCGGCTGCAGTCCCCAAGTTTTACCAGAGATGCTTCTGCATGTCCAAAAAGCCTTATAGGCTTTATTGATGACCTTGTCTGGCTGCTTTTTCCATGTCAGTCCCTTGTCTAATACTAGATCAAGGTACTTGACATCGCTGGAGAGCTGGATCGTTTGAAGAGAGTTGGTTCCTTAAGGCCCTTTATATTTCTCTTCCTGGTAAACAGTATAATTACCATCTTATTGGGATTGATAGAAAGGCTTGTTCTTTCACACCATCATTGGACCGTGTACAGAGCTGTTTGCAGACACTCTGATACTGCCGAAAGGAATTTTCCATTTATGATGATTGCTATGGCATCAGCATATCCTACTGTATAACACCCATCATCATTAAGTCCCCACAGGAGATCGTCGACGACTAGGCCCCACAGCAGAGGCAAGAGCATGCCCCCCTTTGGACAACCCCTTGGTGCGGACGCTCCCAGGGTTTCTCCTGATAATGTAGCAGCTATGGTTCTACTTTCCAGCATAGCACTGATCCACCTGCATATTGCAGGCTCTATGCTGTGCTTTCCAGCAGCCTGTTTGATTATATCAAATGAGGTTCTATTGAAAGCTCCCTCTATGTCAAGGAATGCTCCTAAGGCAATATCCTTGTGTTCAGTCGGACTTTCTATGCGTATTACCACATTATGTAGTGCTCTTTTGGTAGATTTACCTGTTTGGTAGGCATGTTGGTTTCGGTGTAGAGGATATGATATGCCTATCCATTATTTTCTCCATTGTTTTCAACAAGAAAGATGACAGGCTGATAGGATGATAAGCCTTAGCCTCGGTGCAATCTAGTTTCCCGGGCTTTGGGATAAATGTCACCTTAACTTGCCTCCATGCCATGGGGATAAAACCATATGCCATGCAGGCTCTATATATGCATCATAGGTTTGGAACTAAGAGTTCTGCCCCATGCTGTAAAATGCATATACAATTCCATCTGTTCCCACTGATTTAAATGGTATAAAGATATTCAGCGGCCATCTGATTTTGGATTGGTTAATTATGACTTTGGCCAGGTTCCAGTCTACCCTGTTTGTCTTGCTTAGGCAAGTGCCTAGGTTTTGCTGATCCCGTCCATTGTCCAAATTATCAATCAATTTTGAATCAGGAAAGTGAACCCTGAATAATTCATTCAGTTTCTGCCTTCCTGTTTGAGTATACTGCCCATTAGGCATTTTAATCCTGCTGACCTTGTTGGTCACCTGTTTTGCCATGATTCTCATGAGTCTGGCACCGCCCGATACATCATTGATCTCCTGGCAGTGCCTCCTCCATGACGATCGCTTGACTTTCCTTATTTCTTTGATGTAACAGGTAAGGGCTTCCTTGTAGGTGTCCCACTGCCCTGTTCTTTTAGCTGTATTAAACAGCCTTCTTGTTTTGGTTCTAAGCCCACTCAGCTGTATATTATACCAAGGCACTCTACTTGGTTCGCGAGTGGTCCTAGCCGGACAATTCCTTTTAAAGGACGAGATAATAGCCCCTTGCGACTGGTCAACGGGCCGATCAGCATCCTTTATTGTGCGTATATTTCGCAAGATGGTCTCCAGATTTACCTTTAGGTCGTCTTTGTAAGACTCTCAATTGGTTCTCTTAGGATTCCTATAAGTATCTTGATCTACTGTAATGTTACTTATTTGAAAGCATATACATCTGTGATCTGATAGGGACGGCTCATCAGATACATGCCAATTACTGATCAGGTTTCCTGTTTTATTGGTCCCTAGTTTCAAATCGATAACCTCCTGCCTATTGCAGACCACAAAGTTAGGCTCGTTACCTTGGTTTAGAATATTAAGGTTCAAACTCACCAAATATTCCATGAGGCATTCTCCTCTTGGGTTGATGTCAGTGCTTCCCCACAATGTGTGGTGTGCATTGGCATCACACCCAGTGATGAGCTGCTTTTTCCTAAGATGGTAATATTGAACAATGTCCCTCACTTCTTGGGAAGGTGATGGTTCATCTGAGTCATATGGAAGGTAGGCTGAAGTGACAGTGAACTCCTCACAGCCTCCGCCCAATGTGTATGTCATCCTCACCATTGTT